TTGATGTGATCATAAATGTAATTTTTCAAATTTCAAATTCCAATTGTTTATTGTTTGCATATAGAAATATATTTATTTTTGTAAATTAACATTGCATCTTAAAAATATTGTTAAATTCTTACTAGTTCTGTTAGCTTTTTTGTAGATTCCATCAAATTTTCTACATAGATGATGATGTCATCTATGAATAGAGATAGCTTTTTCCCCCCATTTTTTTAATTGGCCATGTTGAGTGGCTTATGGGATCTCAGTTCCCCAACCAGGGATTGAATCCAGGCCATGGCAGTGAAAGCCTGGAGTCCTAACCACTAGGTCACCAGGGAACTCCCAAGACAGCCTTTTCTCTTTCCTTTACTGCTTCCTTTCTTTCTTTTATTTATTTTTTAGGCCTTACTGCCCTGACTGCAATGTCCAGTACACTGTTAAAAAAGAGATGAGAGTGGACACACTTGCTTTTTCCCTAATCACAGAGGAAAGCACTCAGCCTCTCATCATTAGAAAGAAAGAAAGTGAAGTCGCTCAGTCGTGTCCGACTCTTTATGACCTCGTGGACTGTAGCCTGCCAGGCTCCTGCATCCATGGGATTCTCCAGGCAAGAATCCTGGAGTGGGTTGCATTTTCTTCTCCAGGGGATCCTCCCACCCAGAGATCGAACCCAGGTCTCCCACACTGCAGGCAGACTCCCTACCATCTGAGCCACCAGGGAAGTCAAGTATGATGTTAACTGTATGTTTTTCATAGATGCCCTTTTTCAGGTTGAAGAAGTACCCTTCTTAGGAATGGATGATGAATATTGTCAAATGCTTTTTCTGCATCTCAATACTGAGATGCTATTTCTTTTCTTGAATTTGTTTATTTGGTGAATTACATTACTGATTCTTTTTTAAACTATGTATTATTTCTTTACTTGACTCTGTTGGTCTTAGTTGCGGCAGGTGGGTCTTTAGTCACAGCATGCAGGATCTTTTAGTTGCAGCATGTGAACTTCTCACCTGGGCCCTGGGGGATCTAGTTCCCTGACCAGGGGTTGAACCTGGGCCCCCTGCTTTGGGAGTCTAAGCCACTGGACCACCAGGGAAGTCCCAGCATTAACTGATTCTTGAATGTTAAACCAACCTTGTGTTCATGGGAGAAAGCCCCCTAGTCTTGATGTATTATCCTTGTTATATATTGGTATATTTAATTAGGTAAGAATAGTTACATGTATTTTCATGAGGAATATTGGTTGACAGTTTTTCTTCTGTAATGTCTTGGTCTGGTTTTGGTAATAGAGTAATTCTGGCCTCATAGAATGAGTTGGGAAGTATTCCTTCCTTTTTGATCCTCTGGAAAATTTTGTATAGAATGACTATTATTTACTTATTCAATATTTGGTAGTACTCAAGTTGAATTCTTACAAATGTAGGAAAAAATGTTGAAAGACTGAAATGTGCTCAAACGATTACTGGATGTATCCTGTGTAGCTCATGCTTCTAGGCTATCTTTCTTTGTCGTTGAGCTGTTTTACAACTTTGTAAACTGCAGAAAACTGATAATAATGCAAATAATTCTTGTCCTTAGAAACTCAAGTTAATCATTGCCCTGCATACAGATCTATTCTGCATATATTATAAAATCATTTTTATATCATCTCCTATTCTCTGAGTTATCCTTTGAATCAGTTGTAACATTTTACTGGTTCCCCATTAGTTAAATAAAAGTTTTGATATATGTTCATTTTAGACTCACCCAGGAATAATAATTTATATGTTTAAAATAATAATACCTTTCAAATTATCTTTTAGTAGAGGAGTGATGAGAATTCATGGTATAGCTTTATTTAATCAAAGCATTATATAAGGTTGGTTAGTTGCTAATGATACAGGAAGTTATTTACTGTAAATTGTGAAGATGATGATATCAAGAGAAATGTTATTTTAAGATGAAAGAGAGGATGGACATTTGTTTCCTCATCTCTAAAATGATGTATAGTGTTAGTCGCTCAGTCATGTCCGACTCTTCGTGATCCTATGGCCTGGAACCCACCAGGCTCCTCTGTCCATGGGATTTTCCAGGCAGGAATACTGGAGTGGGTTGCCATTTCCTTCTCCAAAAATGAGATATTGGGATAGGTAATTTCTAAGGTCTTTTCTCATTTTAATTATCCAACTCTGAATTGGTGATTTCATGATGAACTTATTTCAATTTCTAGAGTTCATTATCTGTTAAAATGGGATAATGACATTTTCTGTACCCATCTCAAATAATCAAATAAGATAACAGATCTGAAATGTTGAAAGAGCAGGACAAGGGGGTTACCATTTGTGCCTCATGAAAAGCAAAGATAAACATTCCCAAGCCTCATTCCCTCATTTTGGTCAACAGTTTAAAATTTTAAATCTTGTAACCTTCTAGGAAACCTGATTGAACTAATTTGAATTTAACTTTTTTTTTTCATTGAAGAGTCATCATCTTAAAATTAATTCCATCCTAGGTTTTAAATAATTATAGTGATATTGAATTCTAACACCAGAGGCTCTGAAGTGGTCTGAAAACAGTCTGAATTAGCTCTGAAACACAGGGGTTCCTGAGATGGTGGCCACTCTCATTTCGATGCTGCAATTACCTGGAAGGTTATAGAATTCTTCAAAATGTGGCAAGCCTCACCTTTCTTCACACTCAGTGCTGCCCGTGAGCGAGGGAGAATGATCTGCGCATACCCTCAGCCACTCCCCCGTTCTGGTTCGTTGTTCTAACGCTTCCTGGAGGAGCATCAATACACCCAGCTTGGGTGAGGCAGCAGCATACACAGCATTTGTGCAGGGGCTCAAGGCAGGCAGACCAGGCACCTTTCCCTAGCGGAAAAAGACTGAATTTATAGTCTAGTCTGTGGCTCTGTTTTTGGCTGTGCCACGAAGCATGTGGGCTCTCATTTCCCTGACCAGGGATGGAACTCTCACCCCCTGTGGAAGAGCAGAGTCTTAACCACTGGACCACCAGCAAAGTCCCGTCTTTTGTTTTTTTTTAATTTTTCTATTTTATATTGGAATATAATTAATTTATAATGTTCTATGCATAATTAATTTATAATGTTGCATTAGTTTCAAGTATACTGCAAAGTGATTCAGTGATACACATACATGTGCTCAGTTGCTCAGTGGTGTCTTACTTTTCGTGACCCCGTGGACTGTGGCCTGCCAGACTCCTCTGTTCATGGAATTTTTCAGGCTAGGGGGGTGTCATTTCCTACTCGAGGGGATCTCCTCGACCTAGGGATCAAAGCTGAGTCTCTTGGGTCTCCTGCATTGGCAGGTGGATTCTTAACCACCACGCCACCTGGGAAGCATACATGTACATATATCTATTCTTTTTCGGATTCTTTTCCCATATAGATTAGTCTGTGCTCTTAATAGCTGAGATCACATATGTATTCTCTTGTTTCCTAAGACTTAAAATGAGATTAGATTGGGTGATACGGGACTTTTCTGATTGCTCAGATGGTAAAGAATCTGCCTGCAGTGCAGGAGACTCGAGCCTGATCCCTGGGTTGGGAAGATCCCTTGAAGAAGAAAATGGCAACGTGTTCTAGTATTCTTGCTTGGGAAAATCCCATGGACAGAGGAGACTGGCAGGCTACAGTCCATAGGGTCACAAAGACTCAGACACGACTGAGGGCCTAACACTTTGACTTTTCAAGTTCTCTTTCAAGCTAAAGTTTAAAGGAAAATTTACTACATGGGAAAAAGCTAGAAAGTATATATTTTCCTGTGTCTATTTATTCACATATCCACCCATTCACTACTTAGGTGTTTTTGGTGTGCAGGGCACTATGGGAGCTACACAACACAAGATACATAGACACACAGACACACACACCCACACACGTCTAAGGCTTTCAAGGAGGTGATGGAAATTCTTCTCCCACTAGGGTGTGTGGGGGGGCAGGGGGAGAGCACCTCAAAGGTCTTTACTAGCCAGTGCTAGAGGAAGTGCTAACCAATCAGTTAATTAATTAATGAACAATCAGCAAATGGCCTCCAGTGGGGAAGCGTGACTTGGCTTCCAAATGCTAATTATTAGCCCCTTTATGAGCGGAGACAGGGAGAGCAAACCATCCCAGGCTCCCAGACGAGCTGGCACACAGACACCGCAAGGAGGCTGTGATTCTCATCTGCACCAGTGTGCTTGCCAGTTTTTATCTAGTGAAATTAATGAGGACTGTTAGAAGTGCAAGTTGGAGTGATAAAATATTAACATTCATGTCACTGGTGATCTAGGTGTACTGAAATAGCCCGGGGTAGCTGTAGGGTCCTTGGCATGACCGGTGCCCGGAGGCGGGGCTCTCTGATACCTTCCAGGTACAGGCCGCTGGTAGATGGCTCAGCGGCTCCACTTATTCCCCGACCTGGCCTTTGCCCTTTAACTTCCCCTTGCCTCTGCGCGTTCTCACCCCATCATGCTTCTCAGAAAAAGTAATGCCGTCTTGACACATCGGTCCCACGCCCACAGCTGGAACCCTAACTATGACATCTCCAGGAAAGAGGCTTGTTCAGTGCTCCAGGTGGTTCCTCCATCACCAGCAAGACCTGGGACGCTTCATTAACTGGGGGAACAATTTTATTTCCTCTCAGCAGGCAAGTCCCATCACTAAATTCTCTGTGAAGATGATGTTCACAAAGAACTGGTTCATTTCCTTCCAGCTTTGTACAGTGCATTTCCTAAACTAAGAAGTTGCCACTTCAGGCTCCTGCTGCAACTTTGGTCCTCCTGTCAAAACGAAGCGCAGCGAGACCAGACCCCCAGAGCTGGAACCGGCCCCTTCCCTGGTCCTCAGAGCGCAGGGAAGCATCCCTGGTGGTTCGGGGGAGGGTGCTGGAACCACTGGCTAGCACGAGAACCACACCAACTGAAGAGCACATAACTGGGGCCAGAGTGTTAACGTGGCCTCCTCCCCAGGGCCCCCTCAGGCACCCCCGCTTGCCTGTCTATTTCCCTCTGCATCTGCGACGATACTCGGGCACCTTCGGTTCCTCCCTAGAGAACGATACAGTGTTTGCTCCTTATCTCTCATGGCCCAGTTGCCCGCAAACACCTCGGAGGGATTTACCTCTCTTCCCAGGAACAAGCTTGTCCCCGAGCAGTTTCCAACTTTGCCCGTGGAGACTTCAGGGAAGACAAACATGGTGTTCTGATACAAACATGATGTCCTGGGAGCTGTGATCTTAAGAGGGACTGTGAACATTTCCTCTGGGTCTGGAAGGAGTGATGGAGGCTGGGGCTCTCACCAAGCTTGTGGGGCTGGCTCAGAGACCCAGCATGGGATTCCAAGAGTAGATCTGCTTTTGAAGACATCTTTCAAGGTGTTTCTTGGTCTTTAGAGTGCATCTGAATGTTCACATAAATAACTGCTCGAGTGTTGTCTAAAATGGAGAAAAGCTTGGAAATAACCTGCTGCTGCTCCTGCTAAGTCGCTTCAGTCGTGTCTGACTCTGTGCGACCCCATAGACGGCAGCCCACTAGGCTCCCCCGTCCCTGGGGTTCTCCGGGCAAGAACACTGGAGTGGGTTGCCATTTCCTTCTCTAATGCATGAAAGTGAAAAGTGAAAGTGAAGTCAGTTGTGTCCGACTCCTAGTGACCCCATGGACTGCAGCCCACCAAGGTTCCTCCGTCCATGGGATTTTCCAGGCAAGAGTACTGGAGTGGGGTGCCATTGCCTTCTCTGGAAATAACCTAAACGTCCCCAATAGAAAATAAGCTAAATTTATTATGGTAAACTTAGAGAAGACTCAGGTGTTAGGAGATGGCAGGAACTTGTGAGCGCGTGGATGCTAAGTCACTTCAGTTGTGTCCAACTCTGTGGACAGTAGCCCACCAGGCTCCTCCATCCATGGGATTCTCCAGGCAAGAATACTGCAGTGAGTTGCCAGGCCCTCCTCCAGGGGATCTTCCCGACCTAGGGATAGAACCCTCATTTCTTACATTTCCTGCATTGGCAGGTGGGCTCTTTACCACTAGTACCACGTGGGAAGCCCAGGCAGAAAACTTGGGGAACCATCAAAAACAAAATAGCTAAAACACATCATTTTAAATGGCTGCATAATATCTCATTATATGAATATATTTTAGCTTATTTATCAGATTTTTATTTTTAAATAATAAGGTTGTTTTCAATTATATTTGTTATTATTAGTAATAACTTCAGCATTTTAATATATATATTGAAAAAAATATTTTGGAGATAGTCTGAGAAGGGGAATTCCCAGATCAAAGGATAGTGATTTTTAAGGATCTAGAAATGGATTTCCAAAGTGCTATTCACATTTGCACTGACTTTCACTTCTATTATAGTGCTTGAAAATTTAATTCCACTCTCCCCAAAATTATCATCTTGAATTGACAAAACATGATGTTCCATATTATTACTATTTTAAACTAATATTTAGTTTTAAATTTTCTTTCTTTTTTTTTTTTTGCGGTGCCACGAGGCATGCAGGATTTTAGTTCCCTGACCAGGGATTGAACCCTGCTCCCTGCAGTGGAAGCACAGAGTCTTAACCAGTGGATGGCCGGGGGAGTCCCTGATCCACATTTAAACTTGCACTTCTGGCTTATCAGTTAGTCTCATTATTTTTAATGACTTTTTATGTACTTTCTGAGAATTGTCTGTTTACATACTGGGTTCATTTTTCTGAGTGTTTTTCCTATTAATTTATAAAAGCTCTTTAAAAAATTATTTATTTCCAGTTTTGGCTGCACTGGGTCTTCATTGCTACGCAGAGCCTTCCTGTAGCCTTGGCAGGCAGGGGCTGCTCTTTAGCTGCAGTGTGTGGGTCTCATTGCGCTGGCTTCTCTCGTTGTAGGGCAAGGCCGCTAGGGCATGCGGGCTTCGGTGCCGGGGCACACGGGCTCTTGGGCAGGGGCTCGGTGGCTGTAGCACACAGGCTAAGTTGCCCCGAGGCAGATGGGATCTTCCGGACCAGGGATCGAACCAGGGTCCCCTGCATTGCAAGGTGGTTACTTAACCACTGGGCCACCAGGGGAGGCCTATAAAAACTTTACGCCAAGGCAGTCTGTGCTACTATACACTGCCTAACCTGCCCACTGGTCTTTAGAAACCATTTGGCTCACTCATAGCAAGTGACTACTGCCTTATCTCCACCAGCATTGTTGTAGTCCCAGAGGAAAGACCGGACAGCTTGTGCACACATGAAGACCTTAAGCAAAAATCGTGTATGACCAGAATGTGTTTTTTCAAACAGTGGGAATAATAAATTATAATTCGTTTAAAATGTGCTCTGCTTGCATAGCTTGATATGTTAAACCTGAAAGAATCAGTATCATAAAATTTATTTTTTAAGCAGTGATGTAACAAATTCATTTTATTTCGACCCTGGAATTATAAGAAATTTAGTGTCTCTGAAAAAGGATACAGTCCCAAAGCCACTCACTATATCTATAATTTTGTCAAATCTGACATCAATAGGATATTTGGAGGATGTTCATGTGTGATGAACCACCAAAAAGCAGGGCAAGAAAGAGCCTGGCCTGCCTATCTTCTCTGTAAACAGCAGGATATCTGAGTATCAGGAGCCACTTCAAGGCCTACATATATATATATATATATATATACATTGGCCTTTTAGCATGCAGGAACTTCCCCAACCAGAGATTGAACCTGTGCTCCCTCTATTTGAAACAAGGAGTCTTAACCATTGGACCACCAGGGAACTCAAGAGGTGCTTTCTGAACCGAAAAAAAAAAAAAAAACCTTCTTTAGGCAATGATTCAAAGAATCTGAAACTGATCTTTAAAAGAGGCCAGAGGGTAAACCACCCAGTGAGCCTGGAGTAATGACGCCTCCTTTTCCTGGTCAGCTCCCAGGTTCCAAGCGTCGGTAGAAGAAGGTTCTCTGGCTTTTCCTGGGTGAGCTCATTTTTGCTAGTTGTAAACCTAACAGAAGATGCATGATAATTTTTGCTTCCTTTTTTTCTTTTTTGTTATAATCGATGAGCCAATATTTATAATTATTAACAAATAACTAAAGCCCATAGTTAGTTTTAACTGAAGTGTGTAGTTCACATTAGCTTCACTCTTTGTGATGTACATTCTATGCATTTGCCAAATGTAGAATGACATGTATCCACCATTACCGCATCATACAGAATGGTTTCACTGCCCTAAAAATCCCCTTTGTTCTGGGCATTTATCCGTCCCTCTCCCCAAATCCCTAGCAACCACTGATCTTTTTATGGTCATCAGAGTCTTGCCTTTTCAAGAATCTCACATAGTTGAAATTATACGTGGGGAAGCTGTTTAAGATAGGTTTTTTTTCTACTTAGTAATGCGTAGGCTTCCCAGGTGGTGCTGCTGGTAAAGAACCTGCCTGCCAATGTGGGAGACAGGAGATGTGGGTTGGATCCCTGGGTCGGGAAGAACTGCTAGAGAAGGAAGGCAACCTGCTCCAGTATTCTTGCCTAGCAGAGTATTCTGGCCTGCCAGAGGAGCCTGGCAGTTTACAGTCCATGGAGCTGCAAAGAGTCTGACACGACTGAGTGCACACACAAGCTTCCACCATGTCTTTTCTGTGGTTCATTACTTATTTACTTTTATTACTGAATCTCCTATCATTTTATCTCCTTTGTATGGACGTACCATAGTTTATTCACCCACTCAATGATATTTTGTTTGCTTCCAAGAATAAAGCAGCTATTCAAATTCACATGCAGGTTTTTGTGTGGATTTAACTTATCTTCTCACTTGTGTGCACCCGAAGCAGTGTGACTGCTGGATCATAAGCTAAGAGTGTGTTTAGCTTTGTAAGAACAACCTGCCTGCCTTCCAAAATGGCTGTGCCATTGTGCGTTCCCGCAGTTCCCGTGGCTCCACAATCTGGCCGGCATTTGGTGCTCGCAGCATCTTGCTTTCTGGTTTCTCTTTGCATCACTCTCTTTGGGCACATGATTACCAAAGAAAATTTTCATGATTATAAGATCATGCAGCCAGCTTTTTCCTTGTCTTTTTTTTTCCTGAGTAAATATCATTATCATTTTGACTCAGGTCTAAAATCCTGGCGTCGGGAATTTCCTGGCATCCCAGTGGTTGGGACTCTGCACTTTCACTGCTGAGGGCGTGGGTTCAATCCCTGTTTGGGGGACTAAGATGCTGCAAACCTCATGGTACGGACAAAAGAATCAAAAGCAAAACCAACAAAAAAACTAAACCCTAAACATGCCGGCATCATCTCTGACAGAAGTTTGTTTTTCTCTCACATTCTACATCAAATCCTCGGCACAATATTACAAGGACTTCCCTGGTGGTTCAGACAGTAGAGAACCCACCTGCAATGCAGGAGACCTGGGTTCAACCCCTGGGTCAGGAAGATCCCCTGGAGAAGGGAATGGCTACCCACTCCAGTAGTCTTACCTGGAGAATCCCATGGACAGAGGAGCCTGGCGGGCTGCAGTCCGTGGGGCTGGATGTATGATGTCTCTTTTTCTGCCCTGCCACCAGCTGTCCGGGTCACCAGCACCCATCTTTCCTGTTGAACTTGCTTCCTAACTGCTCCCATGCCAGCCCTGCTCCTGGCGATCTGCTCTTTGCCACAGCCAGACTTACCTTCTGAAACCTGAGTCAGACAACATGACTGCCCAGGCCCACACTCTCCAGTGCCTTCTGATTATGGTTAACATACAATCCCCAAATCCTTACCATGGCCCCCCAGACATTCCATGTTCCACGCTGACTCATCCCTGAGGGAACCCCCCCCCCCCGCCCCCGCTCACTTTTGCTGATAAAGGCCTGCGACTCCTGGAGCAGGTGAGCCCAGCCCCCCAACCCCCATACCCCGAGGGCCTCTGCACTTGCTGCTTCCTCTGCCTGGAAGGTTCTCTCCCACATATTTGCAAGATTCTCCACCACTGCATCTAGGGCTCTGCTGAAATATCACCTCCTCAGAGATGCCTTCACTAACCACCTTATCTAAAACCCTGGTGGTCCAGTGACTAAGACTTCATGCTCCCCATACAGGGGGCCCGAGTTTGATCCCTGATCAGGGAAGCAGATTCCACATG